ATATGCCTTCTTCTCAAAGTTTGTATTCTGCTTGTAATTTTACCCCTGCGTGTATAAGGATATGTATACATTCATCCAATTGTTTTATATCACGTTCCTGTAGATGTAAATTTTCTGCACCCTTTCTAAATGCATAATACTATTTAGACCAGCATTCATTTGATAGCAATTTGATAGCAAGTATTTTCCAAATTCTTGAATACAGGAATCTCCAATGAGCGCCTTTGTCCGATCCAACATAATTTCGAAAGAGGGAATGTCCCTTTCTTATAGTATATGATAGACCTCAATTTGTTTTTTCTTGGTTTTGACTTTTTTCAGATTCCCCCCCCCCCCCCCCCCCCCGAGGAGAAGGTCCATAACTGTTATCCACGAATTATAAAACGAATCCGCCATATCGGACATGAAAACATCCAGTTTCAGTGAGCCAGTATACATTTTTATATTTTCATAGAATATTGAAATGGCCTCTTGATCTGTTTTATTGCAGATTAGAAAAGCACGGAAAAATCCTTGTCGCATATCGTCGATAACCATCAGAGTAACAACTTCAAAACCGTATGAATTCAATCCATGCGTATACATATACAATCGGTAACAATTTTTTTCAGAATTTCACATTGACTTCAATTCATTATGATTAGCAAGAAATCCTCAATCTTTAGACTAGGATATAACTCCGAAATTCTATTTTGTGATTTGCAAAAACGAACACAGGACTCCTTCATACTGGATACCCAAACATCTATGCGCATGTTTACAAGAGTCAAACTGAAAGCACTCTCAATATTCAACAAATCTTTTCTTGTCAAGAAGTGGAGCCTTTCTAGTTGTTCATTGGAGATGGATTTTGTTTAAATGGATTCGGTGACACCTTATAAGGTTTACTTCATTCAAAATATCACTTTCAAGGATTTTTCTGGGCGATTTTAGCAGCCAAAGCTTCACGTTGCTCAATTCTCAGTATTTTTTAGGTAGCATGGTTCGTTCATATGTCCAGATCGATTCCAAATCGATAACAAAATCGATACCAAATGGGTGGGTGCATTTTTCATTCCAACATTTTATCATGCGCATGAATAGAAGAAACCATCAAACTGTTGCAAAATTCCGCTGGAATGTTGATGGACATCCATCAAACTGTTGTAATAAAATGCGCACTTTCAAATCGCTTTTTGAGAATCCAGCAGTTTGAAGGAGATTGACATGACAGTTGACACATTTTAGTGTTGTTTTTTGTTTTGATTTGATAGAAAACAATTAATATTGAGGATTTTTGAGATTCTTGAGAGATTTCAGAAGAAAGAGTCAGTGTTAATCAATAAAGTCGAATTAGCCTTTTCTGATTCTCAAGATACATGATGACTGACACACAACAAAATCCGTGTTTCCATCAATGTGTTGTATAAACCATTGTTCAAACCTTCCAGCATAAATTCCAACAGAACAATTGGTGACGTCACGACAAAAAACCTATCAGTGCGCACTTTCTTCGATGGAATGAAAAACACGCCCGGTATATACAATCGGTACCAAATTTCTTCGGAATTCCACATTTGACTTTCCATCATGATTGGCAGGAAACTTCCATTCTTCAGGCTAGGATATAACTCCGAAGTGTGATTTTGTGGTTTGTAAAAACGAACACAGGAATCCATCATAACGGTTACCCAAACTTCTATGCTATCATTGGCATGTTTACAAGCGTCATTATTCAAACTGAAAACACTTTCAATATTTAATAATCTTTTCTGGTCAACAAGTGGAGTCTTTCTAGTTTTTTATTGGAATTGGAATCTCTGACCTGCGAAAATAGTTCTACTGAGTGTAGAAAGTACGAGTTTGCTTTTAAGGAATAAGACGATTATCAAGTAGACTCGAAAAAACTCAAAATGTATGCCGAAATGACCAAGAGTGACATTCAAATGGATTGCCCTGTATTCGGTGACACGTTATAAAGTACCATCACCATAACTTTTTCATTTTTTTTCATTCAAGGGGAATAGATTCAACAGTAATAATATTATTACTGTTGATTTACTTCATCCAAATTGTCACTAAAGGGTATTTTCTTGTCAATGTTAGCAAAAGGTAGCGTTCGTTCTTATGTCCAATATGCATTTCTAGTTTTTACGTAAACAATTTCAAATGTACAGTCAGATGCAAACAAAATCTGCAATATGTTAATTTTCCTGCTGCCCTGTATTCCAGCTTGCCTCTTTCCAGTGCTCGTCGACTGAAAACGTCCCGAGCGATGACAATGAAAATATAGTATCTCTAATCTGGACGTTCTTCTTGTTCCTAGAATCTCGATAAAATGAGTTCCTTCTTTCTGTTCAATATCGTTTTACCAATTGGTAAATTGTTAATAAGATGGAATTTTAAAGATTTTCCTTAACAAACGTTATATCATGCGAATTCTCTAATTGTTTTTCAAATTGTTCACTCAACATTTTTCAACTGATTTCACTATAGCATTGCAGGTGAATTGTAACATTCATTTTTAGGAACGGTTAAATTTCTCTGATAGTTAAACTGCCGTCCCCGCATCTGTCACAGAAAAACACTATTCCACTTTTTTTCGTTGAGGCTACAATGCCTTCTGAGATTTCGAAAAGAGCTGAACGTTTTCATACATTCTGCAAAACAGTTCGACTCAATTTTAACCGACCTCGTATCTCTCACCGTTAAAAAGATACCCATGGTGAGCATGGTAAGTGGGACACACTGTATGTGCATGTTTACAAGTCATTGTTCAAACTGAGAGCGCTTTCAATATTTGACAATCTTTTCTTGTCAATAGTTTTTCCTTGGGAATGGAAACTTTAAATGGCTTCGGTAACACGTTATAAAGTTTACCTCATTCAAAGCTTCACGTTGCTCAATTCTTAGTAATTTTTAGGTAGCATGGTTCGTTCATATGTCCAGATCGATTCAAAATCGGTTCACATTTGACTTTCCACCATGATTGCCATGAAATTTCTATTCATCAGGCTAGGATATAACTCCGAAATGTGATTATTTGTGGTTTGTAGAAACGAACACAGGAATCAATCATAACAGTTACCCACCCAAACGTCTATGCTAATTAATCAATCGCATGTTTGTTCAATCTGAAAACAGTTTCAATATTCAATAACCTTTTCTGGTCAATAAGTGGAACCTAGTTCTTCATCGGAATTGAAATCTCTGACCTGCGAAAACAGTTCAACTGAGTGTAGAAAGTTACGAGTTTGCTTTTAAGGAATACGACGAATGCCAAGTAGGCTCGAAAAAACACAAAATGTTTGCCGAAATGACCGAGATAATCATGGATTACCCTGTATTCGGTGACACGTTATAAAGAACCACCACCATAACTTTTCCATTTAAGTGCAAGGAGAATAGATTCAACAGTAATAATATTATTCCGTGTTGATTTACTTCATCCAAACTGTCACTAAAGGGTATTTTTCTGGTCAATTTTAGCAACAGGTAGCATAGTACGTTCTCATGTCCAATTCGTTCTCATGTCCAATTTGCGTTTTTAGTTTTAATGTTAACAATTTTGAATGTAATTAGATGCAAAGAAAATTTTCGCGGTTGGATGGTGTTAGCGATCTTATTGCAGAAGTGACTACAGCTGTCATCACCGCCCATCTGCGACATGTTCATTGCATCCGACTGTACCAGTAATACTATCCATAGTCACTTGAATGGAAGCTGGACAATTTGAATTAATTTTCTTGCTGCCCTGTATTTTAACTTGCCTCTTTCCAGTGCTCTTTGAGTGAAAATATCCAGAGCGATGACAACGAGAATATAGTATCTCTAATCTTCAATATCGTTTTTCCAATCGATAAATTGATCATAAGATGGAATTTCAAGATTTTCCTTAACAAACGGTAAGTCATGCGAATTCTCTCAATTGTTTCTCAAATTGTTTTCAACTGATTTCACTTCATCATTTGCAGGTTAATTGTTCAATTTCTGATAGTTGAACTGCCGTCCCCGCATCAATTACAGAAAAACACTTTTTTTTCACTTTTTTTCGTTGGGGCTACAATGTCGTCTGAGATTTTTGAAAAGAGCTGAACGTTTTTGTACATTCTGCCAACCAGTTTGATTCCGTAATAATTATTATTGGTTAGCTGCAAAGTTTCTCATGTTCCATGAATATACAGGGTATGTCACTTCGAGCTTACACCAACTTTACAATGCAGTATTGCCACTTCTAGAAAGTAGTAGCAACATTGATATTTCAAATAGAACACCCTGTATTTTATTGCATTTTCAGATTCTTCCTGAAGAGCTGATTTCATCGATATATCACACTTGGGGTCTATCGAAAATGATATAGGGTATTCAAAATCGAGATTTTTCAACTTAGGGATTTTTTTGTGTAGAAACTATTCATTATCATGTCCCTATCTTGACTTTTGATTTACTATCTACTGACATTTAATTGGAACACATACAGGGTGATCAGAATTCTGAATCTTGAATCACCTTGTATTTGTACCAATTCGATGTCAGTAGATAGTAAATCAAAAGTTAAGATAGGGACATGAAAGCCGTTTTGGCCGATAATGAATAGTTTCGACACAAAAAATCCTCAAGTTGAAAAATCTCGATTTTGAACACCCTATATCACTGTAATCATTTCCGATAGACCCCAAGTGTGAATCGATGAAATCAGCTCTTCAGGGAGAATCTGAAAATTCAATGAAATACAGGGTATTCTATTCGAAATAACAAAGTTGTTGCTACTTTTTGATAGAAGAGGCAACACTGCATTGCTTATAATATTTTGAATGAATAGAGCGTATTTTGAAATTGTCTTATGTCTCGATTTTTAGCAGAAATAATGTAACACCTCTAGCAGGGGCGCCAATTAATTCATATGAATTAAATCAGTAATTCACATCTTGAATTAATTCAAATGAATTTTTTGACGTTGTCATGTTAAGCTCTGACAGATGAAAACTTAGTTTCTTTGTTGCGATTTTTATATTTTGTTTAGGTAGATGGAATTTGATTTTGTGAATTGATTAAAAAAAAAGTCCGAATTAATTCAAAGTTGTTTCTTCTTGTTGAACAGTGTTCTAGATTGATTTTGCACCGTTTTCAAGCGTGACGTAGTAATTGATCTCTTCCTCTCTTTTAGTTTATTGGAGTTCTGTCTCCTTACGGTAGGAATTTCTCCAGATCAAATAATTAATTTTTTTCAAGAATAAATACTTGGTTATGTAATAACATTATCACTCAGACTCGCAACATAAAACACCGATTGCCTATCAGTGTTCATAAGATTCGATCGTATATACTCTTCTTATCCAGCCAAATCCGTTGCTGATCCGGCCTGGCTACCGGCGTAGACATAATGGAGCACGTTTGACTTCAAGTATGGCCCCCTTATCCAATGAATCCGTCATCAGCCGGCCTCTATACCGGCGTAGAGATGAAAGAGCATGATATTTCTCACACACATTAATTAAACTTCACATTAAATATTGGATTTCAATCCAGATCAGGTAATCAGAAAATTTTGGACTTGCACACACATAACTTTTCAAATTGACGAATTGCTCTGAGGAGTGTGAAATGTAATTGTAATGGAATCACCAGTGTTAAGTTTTAATTGATCTTGACCAAATATTCAGCCAAAACAATACCACAAAACATCCATAACCTCAAAACCTCAACGTTTTCCCATTGTTTTCCTAGTCTTTCACTCGTTTTTGTGGGTGAAACGGTTCATAACAGGAATGAACAGTATTATTTGGTGACATCATAACTTACACAAGAAAAACGCTAGAATTCATATTATCGTACTGAAAACGGTTCAACAAAATAAACAACTAAGAAAGTCTGGCTTTTTTACTTTTTTTCATATAAAGTCATGCCTTATTTCAACCCTAACGTCAAATGGTATTTATTACCAGTGAAAATTGCAGCAAACACACCATGTAAAATTGCGAAAGTGTAAAGCGATTCCGATTTTCTCACACCAGTCGCACCGGAGGCGGTTTCCCCCCGTCTCTTACTGCTTGCGCGCCGCCACCTTCTTGCTCTTGGGCCCGGCGCCGTTACGCACCGCCCCGGCGGCCGCCGCCCGCGTCGCCGTCTGCCGCTGAGGCGTCGACGTCTGCGTCGGCTTGCCCACCTCCTGGAATAATAATAATATTCATTGGTCCCAAAAAACACACACATGTTTAGGCAGTTTTGAGACACACCGGTTGCAACTAGGGATCGACCGATATAGAAATTTTAGCCGATACTGATAATCGGCCGATACCGATATTTCGATATATCGGTCTATCGGCCGTTAACAAGTTTTCTCTGAATCTGGTAATATTTATGATGCAAAACGTAGCAGGCTAATTCCCGATAGGGCAGAAAACTTATTGTTTTTGCATCACAGCCTACCAAAACTAAATTATCAGTATTAATCTTTTTTTTTTGTATTTTAGTAGGGTGAAATAATTTTACTTTACAGTTGCAATCCGCATAGGGTTTTATTTTATTAATTTTTAATTACTATATTATAATTTTCCCAATAAAAAAATATATCGGTCTATCGGTTTTTGATATCGGCCGATACGATAATCGGCCAATGAGGCCGATACGATAATCGGCCAATGAGGCCGATATCACCGATATAAATATCGGTATCGGTCGAACCCTAGTTGCAACCGGCCGGACGCTTCCCGGACGGATTTTTTGAGAATCGTATAGTCCTATTCACAACATAGACTACATGGTGTCCGGAAATTATGCGCAAAAAATCAAGGGGGTGATTCTAAATACTGTCTGTAGGTCAATCGAGGAGGTGGTACATTCATTTTACTTGATTTTTTGAGATTTCTCCTCGTTTCTATAAAATAAAAATATTCAATCAAATCAGATGATTTGCTCCAAAATGTCACTGCGTTCAACAATTTTTTTTTATCTGAGAGCTAAAAAGAAAAATCCAGTAGTTTGTCAGTGACAATTTGTTTGAAAAATGTTTGAAGGAAAGAAATATAGATATATTGAAAAAATGTCGACTTTTTACTTATCTTTGGACGTTTCGGGACCAAATCTGCTCCCGTTCTCAACATAAAAATGCAAAATATTCATTTTTAGAAGTTGTGCTGCTTATAGTTTGACACTTTTCAGAGTCATACTGATGTTCACTAAAATCAGTCATTCATATGTCAACATCGGTATGACACTAAAAAGTGAAGCAGCACAACTTCCAAAAATAAATATTTTGCATTTTTATGTTGAGAACAGGAGCAGATTCTATCCTGAAACGTCCAAAAATAAGTAAAAAGTCGATATTTTTTCAATATATCTATATTTCTATCCTTCAAACATTTTTCCAACAAATTGTCACTGACAAGCTACTGGATTTTTCTCTTAGACTCCCTGATAGGAAAATTTGCTCTCTGATGAAAAAAATTTGTTAAACGCAGTGACATTTTGGGGCAAATCATCTGATTTGTCCCACTACAAATATATTGAAATAATACGAATAATTTCATTTTATAGAAACGAGGAAAACAAATTCCAAAAAGTCAAGTAAAATGGGATGATTCTACTCGAAAAAATAAAAAATGCATTCAATATGTGGGTCCGGAAATAGTTTTCAACATACAGTGTGTGTTTTTTTAAGAATATCTCAAATGTTTTTCCATCGATTTCCTCGAAATTTGGCAATGATTTGTCATGAGGGGCTGATATGGGGCCATGATTCAATTGGAATTATGAAATCCAGTGGTGTCCCCGGGGGGGGGGGGCAATCTACCGAATATTATTGTCAATAAAATGTGCGCCACTGATTTTTTTGAATGCTTTATCTACAGTACCTATTGGCCAACTGAAAATACATTGGTTTCTTGAATTGTTCTGATAATTTGCTTCATTTCCATGGGAAAAAAACAATTTATTGCATACATTTGTGCCAAAAAAATCCTTGAAAAACTGGGTTGAAAATAAATGCGTTATCTATGTCCATAGACATGGAATAAGAATGAAGATTCATCTTCTTCAAATATCTCATGATACATGTTTGACACACTCTACACTCTGTACATTGAGAACTATGTATTCTTGGTCCAGGAAGGCGTAGTTTTCATTTTCAATAATACAGAATGTATTATAGAATACTTGAAGAAAATCAATCTTCATTCCTATCTTTATTTTCACCACTGTGTTCAAAGACTTATCAAAAATTAGCACAATACAAAAAATATTTCTGAAGGGAATATATTTCTGGAAAAAAAAACTGGAAGTTCCCAGTCCGAGTTCCGAAAAGTTATCACCAAATTTGTACGGCAACATGGTTGTTTGAAACACTTGCAGGTCACTGATGATGTACAAAAACATCTCAAAACGTGACTTACAGTCACAGAACATGCCATGCCAAAAATTATGCAAATCGATCTCAGCATACTCTTTTCATGAGCAAAATTATTTTTTCCCAAAAAAACTTCAAAGCCTTGTACCAACACAACGACATGATTTTGGATATAGGTAAGTTGACCTAAAACAACTTGTTTCCATCCCAGGAGTCCACAGCCGAGCCAAGTCCCAACCTTTTACTGACAACCTGTATATCCAATCAATCACCGACAATCACAACGACCCACAGAACTGAAAGACCTAGAAGGCCAATATCATTCCATCCGAGTGTTCAGAATTATTTGATTACCAGGTTTTTGTGGCTTTCTTGAAAGATGAATTCCTTATTATATTAGCAATAATTCACTATGGTTCTTCAAAATATAAAGCGGCATGAATATTATAGTTTTTTAAAAAAAAGGTCATCCAGGAAGATACATCCCTCTCAAGTTTTATTATTATTATCTTTATTCCCAAGAAACATACATGTTTATAGCAGGGAAAATTATGAAAGAGCAAATAAAAAAACAAAAATTAGATAATCAGATAATCATTTTTAAATCATATACATAATACAAGAAACATTATAATATGTTTCTTCTAGAGACTGTTGAATATAATTTCTTGAATTGATTCAGTTTTAAAAATATTTTTCTTGCTATAATTCTTAGGACATGAGTTTGGTGCAAATAATTATGAAATGGTTACTCTAATCTGTTTTGTCAAAATTGATTGTCCAGTGGAGAAGATACAGGGGAGTTGTTTCCCCTTTGTCGGACTATTTATCAAACCACTGAACAATTTTCAGAATTGAGATATTTTCACAAATTCTCTGTTCAATTCAGAAAGAAAGACACTCTTGTGGAGTTTCAAATTGGAGAGAATATAATAGCACACATTTTGTTGACGAAATAAATTTACCTGAAGTAAGACATTCCTGGAATTTGTTCTTTATCTTGTCACCAAATCATTCATCTTGAAAACACAAATCAGTCAATGAATGCCTAATCAAATAAGTACTGTTCTTGTCACCATGTGTGAAATACCAAAACTCTTCAATGGGCTTATATCACAAAAAAAATTTATTTCATAATTCGATAGAAGTCACCCAAACTAGCTCACCACCGCAAACCGTTTCTTGCTGTGAGCTCCCTACGTTTTATAAAAAATTATTGAAATCCCCGATTTTTCGGACCTCTGAAAACGAGGCGATGATGTGACGTCAAAACCCTATTACTTAAACAAGACTATTCCAGGCAGAGATGAATGATATATCATTATGATTTCTGACAGAGTGAATTAGCGCGAGATCACAGTTGAAAGAATTAATATATCAGTTGCCATCTCCGTCGGGCGTTTGGTATTTTCTTTTAACTATGGCGAGATGAGGTTTCTACGTCATAAGAGGGTCCGTTTTCAGAAGGTACTATTATTTATTTCCAGAAATGAAACATTTCATTTAATTCTTCAATCGAATTATGTCGTCAATCATTATTTATGTATAAAAGGATCATTATAAACATGGTTTGACTTAAAAGTTCTACTAAGGTGTACACGCCCATAATCTCAAATTCACTAACGAATGACGTTGAATGCAAAGCAGAACACTGAAAAACTGAAACTAATCAGTTACAAGAAGTTTTGTAGGAAATGTGAACTACATCCTAATGCATAAATATGAGATTTGCGTATGAAAATATATAACTGACAATGTTGCCGACAATGTGCGCATGATCACCATTGCCGTAAGCACACTGATTGTATCAAATTTCAGTGATTTCTCACACTCATAAGCCTTCTAGGTCTATGAGTTCTGTGCAACGACCACACACCCACCTTCTTGACCGCCTCCTTCTTCACCGGCTCCGGCTTGATCTGCGGCGGCGGCGGCGCCTCCACAACCGCCTCTTCCTCCTCCTCTTCCACAACCGCCTCCTCCTCCTCCTCGACGGCCTTCTCTCCCTCCGCCGCCCCTGCGCCTTCCTCCTCTTCCTCCTCCTCATCCACCATCTCGATGAGGTCGGCGTTGTTGATGACCGACGGGTCGCCGCCTTCCTCATCTTCTTGGGACACCTCCATCACGGAGGATTCCTCCTCGGCGGTCGCCTCTTCCGGATCGTACATCTCTTGGTCGCCTGCAAGGACGGAAGAGGTATTGCAGAAGAGAGAAAAAATACAAGGAACTTGAGATGAATGACAAAATCGACATTTCTTTTTGCTATTATACAATACAATACAATTTTTATTCATCCCAAATAGATCACTTTACAATGATATAGGATATGTCATAAAAATTTATATACATATCAATACAAAATACAATATATAACACATATGAAACGTTCACTTTTGTAGATAATATGTAAAAAAAAATTGAAGAAAGGAATAAAGTGGGAACATTATATAACACAAGATCACAAACAATAAAAACATTTTAAAATTTATAATTGAGGAATTCATCGGTTGAATAAAAACCCTCAGAGGCTAGTAATGTCTCGACTCTTCTTTTGAAAAGGTGGAGTGAAGTTATTGTTTTAATTTCGGTAGGCAGACAGTTGAAATACCTTATACCAGAAAATGAAGGTGATTTTTCAAAGTTGTTATGTGTTTTTTTGTTCTGAGAAGTCAACACTTCTTGTTGGATATCTGTGGAACTGAGAGTTTGTTTGTAACTTACTTTGCATTATTTTAATATATACAACACAGTGATATATGTAGATACATGGTGTTGTAAGTATTTTGAACTCCTTGAATTTGGGTCTACATGAATCGGTTCGTTTTAAATTTAATATAAGTCGTATAACACGCTTTTGAGCTATGAATACTCTGTCAATGTGGGTGCTACTTCCCCATAAAATGATGTTGAAAGATATAATAGTATGTATCAGGGTATAGTACACGTCAATAAGGGCATTTTTGTCAAGTATATTTTTCAATTGAAACATTGCATAGAAGTTTGAGCTCAGTTTTTTACAGACTGAGTTCACGTGTTGTCCCTATCTTTCTTCCATAAAACTCAATAAGTACTGTCTTTTCGGCATTAATCATCAGCCTGTTATTATGACACCAAGTAACAAACCTGTTGGCAGTTGAATTTATTTTATTTTCGAGTTCCACGGTACTGTCTGCTGCCTCCGCGATAGATGTGTCATCGGCAAATAGTACTAAACAACCCGCATCAATGAATTTTGAAATATCATTGATGAAAAGTGAAAATATCAAGGGTCCTAATACCGACCCTTGTGGGACACCAAGGTCGACATCAAAAATTTGAGATGTAGTTTGTTCTATCTGAACAATTATTTTCCTATATCGGATATATGATATTATCCAAGACACATATATTATGTGGATGTCTTTATATGAAGGAGAATACAAATTTTCTACTTTAGAAGATTTTGTTTTCAAATTCTTATTGTGTGTTTGTTCAATAGATATTATTCAATTCAAACATACCTACATAAAGGTACATGAATAAAAACTAGACCAAAAATAAATTATACTTCAAGTAAATGGTTAATTGAAGTTTCAGTTTTTCTTCCTTCTTCTCATTCACTGAAACATGAATGCACTAATGCACACACATATCATATACCATTGTGCACTGAATTTCAACATTGATAGAAATAGTGAATGTTAATTTTCACAAAGTAGTTTCATTGTTTACAAAATTCTATAGATTTGTTCCAAATGGAGGAGCTACTTTTTTTGTATCATCTGGAGTTGATTTTTCAATCTATTGGACTATTTCTGCCTCGCAGATATTTGCAAATCTCCACATATTTACTAGAATATCATTTGCTGCTCAATTCTGTTTTTGACATTTACAATTGTCAAACTGATGAGACGTGCAACACTTGATAAACGAACCGTAAATGCTAGCGTTGCTATGGTAATGCAATTCATCCGATTTTTTCATTTATGTTCCTATTTGAGTGGAATCGTCGATAAAGTCGTGCGAAAAATTTACTTTTCCGCACTAGTGCTGAAGTTACTTTTCTGTACAATTTGAATGTTGTTAAAAATGGGATATTTAGAACTAACTAAATGATCTATGTAACTAAATTGTCTTATTTGTCAGTTTGTAACATTATTATAAGATATATTATATTATTTAAAAACCTTTTTATTTTTCTAAATAATATGAAAAAATAAACACTTGAAGGGAAAACAATGCTCCTAACTATTGCGGAAAAGTACTACTTTCCGCACTTATGTGAATAAATATTTTACAACCTATGACAACTGTCAACATTTGGTGAACAATCATTCCTGATAGCCCGTTTTACGCAAATAGGATGACGTGAATTTCTCTTTTTAATACATGTTCGATTGTTTGGACTCCTTGTTGCCTAGTAATTCATCAAAACTATGGAACTGTAGAAGAAGTCTTGATATTCTCTTCCATATATCTCATCAGAAATTGTTATTTCAATCTTTTTTTTTTTTCATTTTCTGGTTCCCACAAAAAGGGATATCCTATAATGTTCAGAGAACATCGTGTGTACCAAGGAAATATGATTGAAATTGAAAAAATCCTCGCGATTCAAGTTATTTATTTGAGTCCTTTCAACCCTGACTTACCGTCAGCTTCCCCTTCAGCCTGTGAATCCTGGCTTTCATTCTGTTTTTTCGCGTCGCCCGACTTTTTCGCCTCTTTCTCCTCCCTCTCTTTCCTCTGTCGGTCCTTCAACGCCTTTTTACAAGCTCCGATGAACTGGTAATAGTGCAATTTCGTTTTAAGATGTCTCTGAAATATGAAAATAATCATTACAGAATGTTCAACTGTATCAGATTCATTTTTTCGATGAATTAGTTGCTTTTTCACTTGTAAACCAACTTGAAATTGATCAATTCCCTTTATTTATATGTAGTTTGATTACATCAGAGTATAAATTGTATTAGCAAATTTCAATCACTCAAAAACATATTATACATAATGCGTCTGCTAGCTGGGATCAGAATTACGTCCACTTTAAAAATCATCATTATTGATATCAGTTAAGTATTCATCATTTCCCATTTTTCTTGTTGCATCATGAATTTTTTTTTCAAATTTTTGAATAACAAGCTTGCTGTCCAAATTCTGGAAAATATACATCATTATTAATGAATATTGAGTTTTTGTATTGCAAATTGACGAATAAAGAAAATAGGAAGAACAATGTAAAACAGAGAAAACGGACAATTAGTCCAGAATAATTTACAATTGTTCATAATTCCAAAACTGTCGACTTCTGTGATTTGAAAAAAATTAGTTAACTTTATTCAAATTTTAAGGTTGAATCAAATTATACATTTATTCAAGATAAATGTTCTGACTATAAATGAAACATGAACCATTGAATAGATAAAATGGAACCCTACATGCAACATTTTTTTGTAATACATAAAATAAAGAAGTTACGATAGGGGCGACGGACTTTTGGTTCTCATTTTCTGAGAAGAAAAACGAACATATAAGATTGAAAATGAAAGGAAAAATGAGGATTTAGTAGGTAAAAATATGAATCATACAAAGAGATATATGTTGAAGAGGAGAAAAAAAGAACAACAAAGTAGAGAAAATTAAATGACACACGATAAAGAAAAAAATTAGTTTAAGAGGGAAAACAGAAAAGGGAGGAGAGAGAGAGAGAAGATAAAACAAGAGAAAAAAAGTGAATATCGAGAAAAGTAAAAAGGGAATAGATAATCAAGGACAAAAACAAAGAAAGAGAAAAATGAAAATTGAGTGCCAAAGAAACAAAAGATGAAAAATTCTATGCAAACTCCTGCTACCTATTGTTGCACAGAGAAAATCAAGAGAAGAACTCATGAAAAAGTGAAGGAAATCAAAAGATAAAGAAGCAGAAACAGAAATAATGGAACAATTAAAAATTCAAAGTTAAAAGTAACAAAGGAACCGGAGAAACAAGAAAACAAAGGAACAAAGCAATAAAAAAAATGAAGCAATAACAGATCAAAACATCATAAGGACAAAATAATAACAAATAAAAGAACAAGAAAAACAGAAACAAAAAAAAAGAACATATAAACAGAAACAAATATACAGAAACAGCAACAAATGGAAAAAATGAATGAAGGAACAAAAGAACAGAGGCACCAAAGGAACACAGAAAGGACAGAAAGGAAGGGACAGAAAAAAGAGACATTAAGAAACAGAGAAACAAATAAATGTAATAAGGAAGCAAAAACTTAAAAAGTTAAAGAAACATAAAAAAATGAACAAATGATCAAAAATTATAACTCCCTTCACTGTAGAATCTATTGTACAAACCAAAATCAACAAATGAACACTTGAAGATCAGTATAGACAAGATAAAGAAACAACCACAAAAATAAAATATGAATATATTTTCAAAACCAAAGCAACCCTAAATCGCACTAGAAAAAAATAAAGATGACACCCACCTGCCCCAGTTCCTCCCTCTCGAAACTCCTGTTGCACAACTCGCACCTGAACCCGGTAAAAGGTTTAAGGCTCTGCGTCGATATGGCCCTGTCCGGTTTGTAGGCGGGCATCAGGTTCTGCAGGCCGTTGAGGTCGTCGGTGAGTTCCAACACGGGATTCTCGATTTCAACTTGCAGCGATTCTTCGAGCAGCGGCTCGAGGTTGAGCTCGTTGTCGTCCTCGGTGAGGATTATGTCGCCATCTAACGACACCAAACAAAAATGGAATCATCCATCACCTTTCAATTCCATTTTTTTTCATATTTTTTTGGTTGATTTTATTTAGTACTTGTATGTCCCAATATTATAGTTTGGTATAGTTTATGCAAAGTCAGTTGAACAGATCATCAGACGAATGTCGGGCCGCGCTGCCGCACTCTTTGAACTTTCAAAGGGACCGACGGCTTGCGATGATGTGTTTTTCCAACTGACTTTGCATAAACTATACCTGTATTACCCTGTATAGTATATATATGAAGATTGATCAATGAAATCCGACTTGCATATCAACCTTTATTTCATTATCACATATCATAATATAACCATACAGATACAGTCCACTAGCTATCAAGCATCGCACATTTTGGTCCTTCGAACCGGATTTAGTCCAAGAGAATTCATATCATGTTCAGGAATGCGCTGTTTACACGTACGACCTGTCTGACCGATATATACCTTAGGGCAAGATCCACAGTTGAGTTTGTATACCCCTGATTTATCGAATTTGAACCTTGAGGGTTCATCAAAAATAATAAAGACCACACTTTTAAATTCGAAAAATCAGGGGTATACAACTGTGGATCTTGCACTAAGGTATATATCTATCAGACAGGTCGTACGTTTAATCAGCGCAGTCATGAACATTAGATGAATTATCATCAAAACCAAAGTTTTGATGATGATTTCGAAATTCTACACGTAGAAAGTAAAGGAATAAAACTCAATCATTTTGAATCATTAGAAATCAACTAACTCAAGAATTCAAACATTTTACTTAAAGATCAACTAGACCTCAATAGTTCACCACTGTTGAATTTGTTTTCTTAGTAGGTAATAATATGTATTTGCTATCAACCCTTTCAAGTTAATCAGTTACACCATATATTAATGTAGATATTGTGCCTATTTTCCGAAAATGAAGGTTTATCGAATCTTTCCACAAGTAATTCTAATCCTTCAGGTTGGGAAAGTAGGATATATGTTTAGGCAAACCAAGGTTGGTTTATTTCATTGTACCAGTATTTCACCTGATAAAGCTACTGTATTAGCGAAACATGTCCTGTGATTTAAAATTTTGTGGAAATCTCATCGTTTGTGAAGTTTTTCACATTTGCTATGGATTGCCACCAAGTAATGGCCGAGTCAATTCATATTAATGTTGAAGAAATCCAGACTCGTGTATATAGGACAAGGATTATTGTACTTTCAAGAATTTCAAGTGTATGTAATTTTATGTACAGGGTGGCCAACTAAGACTCCAGAGTTCGATTTCTCTGTTGTCTTGAGAGATACAAAAAAAAGTCATGTATCAAAATTGAAGTAATAACCGAGCTTCACATTTCAAAATTTCTTTGAAATACACAGGGTGTCCCGTAAGGTCACAGCACATCGAAGCTATGTTTTTTTCATTGGAACATCCTATATTGTATTTCATTTTTGAATTCTCCCTGAAGATCTGATTTCAACGACCCATCATACTTAGGGTCTAGCAGTGAAAGTTACTGACATAATTATAGGGTGTGCAAATTCGAGATTTTCCAAGTTCAGGAGTTTTTTCTGTCGAAACTGTTCATTATTCGTCAAAACGGTTTACATGTCCCTATCTCAACTTTTCACTCAGTATCAATTGGTGTTCAATTGAAATTGATTCAAGGTGGTCAAAAAATCTTAATTTATAATTTGTTTCAATTAATTGTCAATTGAACACCAATTGATAGTGAGTGAAAAGTTGAGATAGGGACATATAAACCGTTTTGACGAATAATGAACAGTTTCGACAGAAAAAAAATCCTGAACTTGGAAAATCTCGATTTTGCACACCCTATATGTCAGTAACTTTCACTGCTAGACCCTGAGTATGATACGTCGTTGAAATCAGATCTTCAGGGAGATATCAAAAATGAAATAAAATATAGGGTGTTCCGATGAAAAAAAACATAGCTATGATGTGCTGTGACCTTACGGAACATCCTGTGTATTTCAAAGAAATTTTGAAATGTGGAGCTCGGTTATCACTTTAATTTGAATCCAAAACTTTTTTTTGTATCTCTCAAGACAACAGAGGTATAGAACTCTGGATTCTTAGTTGGCCACCCTGTACAGAAAAAAACAATTAGCGGGCGTTATGATTCATAATGCCCTCCATAACGCCCTGGGCGTTATGGGTCTGTTGATAGCAACTGTTGCCAAGATATTATAAAGCAGTAATGGACAAGTGAAAAATATAAATATTAAATTATGCTGTTGTCATCAGTCCCTGAAAAGTTTGCGAAATTTAAATTTAAATCGACGTTTTGAAGTGGGTCATAATCAGCTGTCTCTCTGGATTCAACTACTCATATGAGTACTTGCTGTAAGACATTGCTGTGTCTCTGGATAAAAGAACATTGTGATTATCGGAATAAATTGGAACATTTGAATTTTTGTTGACAGAACATTTTGAAATGTTGGTGGCGGAACATCATTTACCAGTTCATTCAAAAAAAAAAAAAACTAAGCCTGATTATCCTGATCAGGATAATAGTACAAAACTATTGAATTATGCTATTGTCATCGGTTCTTGATAAGTATGCAAAGTTTCAATTCAATTCGTCGTTTTGAAATGGGTCAAAATCACGTGCAAAGATTCCGTGCTACATACATACCAAGCTAATATAAGAGTGTTAAAAAAAAACGGTTGATGAATGACAAAACCAGTGAAAAATCAGTCGCACTAACCTGCACTTCCTGTTTTCGCATTGAGCACCTCGTTCAATTTCCTCAAATGTTCGGGCGTCAGACAGTGCTCGATCCACTCCATCCTGGAGGGAAACTCTTTGTCGCACATCCTGCACACCGGATGCAAGTAACGCTTCAGACGTTGGTGCCCTTCATTTCTTGAAAAAAATATACAGGGTGTTTCAAAATTCAATATCAGATTTCAGGGACTCATTTTGCAGGTCAAAATACGTTTCTTTTTCTGTGACGGAAAGGAAGTTTGAAATTTCATCTCTGTTGACAGGTCATAAAATGTCACCTTTGATGAATTTCTTTTTCCAGTGGGAAAAAGTGTTATTTTCCGGATATATATATCACATATATATACACTGTTCGAAAAATAAGCCAACAACACCGTCTCCGAGAAAGAACTGCAAGTTCTTTCATTTCCTATTCGAATTCGCTATTATGTAAATTACTAAATTAAATTCGTTTCATCATACAATCAATAATTTTCAATATATTCGAGAAAAAACGAAGATACAGAATTCAAGTTCTTCTTGAATAACTCAAAAATAACTGAAGCTATTCAAGACTTTTTAACGGATTCTGAATCAACAATGAATTTGCTGAAACTTTCGTAGTTCAACAGACTCTCTATCTCTCATAGTTACCGAAATCCCAATGGTGAAAATAGACTTTGGGGCACACTGTATCTGTTATGGTTACCAAGATCCCAATGATTCCGCTCTAATTTTTGACGTGGACAGTTTGAGATAGTTCGAGAAAGTCCGGGGAAATTCAATTAATAATAAAGTAATTGTTTTAGTTTTTTTGAAGTGGACAGTTTGAGAAAGAACGAGGAAGTTAGGAAACTTTTACCTCATGGAAAAGAAAGACAATTTGGGTAATTATTCCAATTTGATGGCCACCAGAAAATATAGGAGTTACGAAGATGGCTGAATTCGGGAAAAGTTGCGCATTCATGAGATCAAAAATATGCTGCTTTTCAAATTCCGAGCATTTCTTGCGTTATTTGTTGGAGAATATCAGAATTGAGAGCACCTTTACATCTACACTTTTTCCCTGCTATGCTATGACACTTTCAGATTCATTATCCGACGTATCTTCTTCACGCCACCATTTTTTCTTCTTATGGGCGCCACATTGGATTTTCATTAATAATAATAGCATGGTGAATCTGAAAATGTTTATAGATGTCCTCTCTATTTTGATATCCATCAAGAAATAACGCCAGAAAAAATCTTAGGAAATACTCGGAATTTGAACATTCTCTCGACGGCATATTTTCAGCACCGTATACCATCTTACGGAAAACAGTAACTTCACTTAGTGTCGGAACGCTTGATGTTGGTGTCCACAAGGTTTATTTTTTGCCAGAGCAGTGCACATATATCACCACACACAGACTTGCGCATTTCAGGCTTGGTCAAGCCAATGACGACTCGCTTGTCATCACTGAGGAATGCTGTGAAGTCCCTGCATTTTATGTGAATCAAATAAATAAATACATAGCTTATCTACCACTAGTGAAAACATTGAAATTCACATTTAAACATCAGGGTTCATACCACACTGTGTTTATACTATGCTAATAAATAAATAATGTTAATGGATAACAAACAGATCATAGATATTTGTGGATACACGTTTCCTTACCTTGGCTCATCTTGTGGAAATCTGAAGAAACTCAAACAGCACTCTGTCCTACAATTTTTGCTACAAATAAAACAGTAGGCAGCCATTATCCTCTCTACAGTAATATCAATAGCACTCAAAAGTGAAACGGATCACCAGAAGCTGCGAGAAATCAATGACCTCACATGTAAAGTTTATGGAGCACAATAATTATACCACCAATCAGAAATAAGTTGTTCAAAATTTAATAACAATACTACACACAATACATAAATCGTGATACTCCTTGTTTCTACCACAGAACGAATCATAAAGGCATATAAATCAAAGGAGTGTAAACAAAACACCTACTAGCAGAGCAACTGCGCATACAAGTCACGCGTGGACATGCGCACTGCGACTTTTAGGACACAAAAAGTGGTGACAGAAATTACTGTTTTCCGTAAGGGTGTATTCGTATCTCCTATAGTTTCCGGGATACCAATGTCGGCCCTCGAATTTGAATTACCCGGTATATTCTTCTTACCTGCGATGGCTGAGGATTTTGCCGTAAAACTTCAAATCGCACATGTTGCAGCTGCTCTCAATCTCGTTGGAAGGCTTGAACCGCTTGGCACCGCGCTGCACACGCTGCATTTCAATCACCTTGCGCTCCTCCATCAGGCGCATGTTCTCGCGCAGGATGTTTACCGTGATGTGGACGCTTTCCTCCAATGTGCCTAACATCTCCTTGTGCGCGCGCCCTGGACATTTTAGGCCATATAATAAATAGTTTCCGGTGTCCCGAAATTAGATAGAAAGATTTCAACCACATATTATAGGAACAAAAATTCACATTGAAAAAATGCCGTATAAACATGAGCCCAGAAATGGCTCCCTGCTAGTCAAAGAGCCAGCTGCAAATTTCGACCGTCATCTGTGCCCCAAGCCCCACCTATTTCCCACGCCCCTGATCAAAATTTCGGAATATTCTCAACATTTCCAAATCGGGCATGAAAGATAATGTACATGTACAAAATTACGTTATATCGCCACAGTGTTTCGAAAATTGATTATCTCGGGCCTCTTTTAGATGGCTATAACTCTCCAGGGAGCCATTTCTGAACTCATGTTTTCATGTTTATATGAACTTTTGTTACTATTTTTGGTCCTAGAATCTGCGGTTTTTTCTACTTCCCTTGATTCGAAATTTTGCTAAATAACAATCAAATTTGAATAAATTAGAAATGTATTTATCAATAAAAACATTTCTATAAAGGCAATGCGGTTTAAAAAAAAAACGCTGTTAGGAAGACAAAAACTATCTGACGGTAGTAACGGTGACAATTGTTGCAAAGTATATAAGTGTGTTGATTGAAAGCAAGGTATATTATTTATCGGTTATTGGAAAAGCTAGGTAGCTTTTGTTATCACTACAAATGTTAAAATGCTCACGTACAAAATGTACACGGTTTCCCTATAGAAAAATCATTTTGCCAGACGTGTATAGAGTACAAATGACAGGTCACTGAGATGCACATACGAATTATATTAGGATACATCCCAAAGGCATGTAAAAACATTGTATTATTGAAATGCACTTGAGCAAAATGATTGAAAAATTGCACTTTCCTGTGTAATATGCACTTAATTTCGTGATTGATAAAATACAAAGTTTTTACATGCTTTTAGGGCATACAGGGTGTTATTCAAGTATGTGGCCATACTTCAAGGGGCGATTCTCTCATTGATTATCAGACACGAAAAGTTACTATGACCATAGCCCCCCCTAATGATTAATAATTTCCAAAATACAGTGTCAAACTTTCTTTAAAGAATCGCTTTTTCATAAATCTAGTAATGTTTCATGTACCTTTCACAAATAACACTTCAATATTCAAACAAGATTGGACCAGACATTTTCGCGAGATTTATGGAGATGCGATTTTTTTTCAAATCTTTTAACACCCTGTATCTTGCAAACGTTGTATCGTCACAAATGATGAGATATTTGAAGACAAATTCCAATATTCTTATTAAATTATATCGGTTCGAAGTCATTGAACGGTCACGCCTTTGTTTATTAATTCAAAAATTTTCGAATCGTGAACGAACTTTTTTCCATAGTAGTTGAACATAAACACAGGCATGACATTGAGTTCAACGAACCTGGACTATCGACCTCATTTCCTTACTGTCACGTTTCCGAAAATATAGACAACTATTTAGTAGTAGTACTGGCCCTTCTTTTTATTTTTCATCAATTTTCTCTATTTTTCAAAAATTTTACTCATGAAATTGTATGTTTAGTGTTTACTCTTATATGTGTACCTATATATACAAAATTTGAATGTAACTTGTGACTTGTTTTATACCTTGTATGGTCTACAAAATTAATAAAGTTGATTGATTGATTAAAAGACATAAGGACAGTTCGACTACGAGTTCAACTGAGAGTTGGACTGCCAGTTCGACTGATAGTTCGAGTTCTAGCTCTGGTTTTGTTATACGAGTTAGGGCAAGTCTGGGTTCTACCGATTGTGAGTTTGTAAAGTTGCCATTGTGCCCGAACCTTCGGGTTCCGGAGTTCGGGCAGAACAGCAGATGCCCTTCCTCACAGGAATATTAGTTTATTTGTACATATAGGGTAAGTTAAGTTTTTATTAATTGTTAATCATAAATCAAAGAATAAATGTGTGTATGTTTTGTTTGAAAAAAACCCTTTGAGTATTATTTATTTTTATCACTTTCGAAGTTTATTCTCTAATGGATCTAGAACACAACTTAGGCAACCCTCGCCTACAGTTTGTGACAGTATTTCCGGACCCATGTTTACATGAACTTTTTACGCAGGCGGGAGTAGAAGTTAGTTACTCTGGTAACAAAAGAGGGGTAGAAGTCTCGTATTATTTCCTAGGAAGATAATGAGACATATTTTCTCCCTAGGGAGTTTATACCAACTTTACATTTTCCGCCTAGCTCTGCGCTTTCTTTTTGGAAAACCCTTCTCTGAAGCGAGTATAACCTGCCACATACAGATTTCTAGATCTCACTGGTAGCAAGTTAAGAATCACTGCCGAAGCAGTATCGATGCTTTCTTGAGGTTTTCTGGTTTTCCCTCGATTTCTTGTGCCATAACCGTTAACCCTTTTCAAAGCTGTTTTCATAAATTCCAGTTTTATATTTGCTGTCACCATGGATTGTCAACAAGATACATGTTGTCAAGATACGAATTCCTCAAACTATGCTACAACTAATTATGACAAAACACTTTGACCAAATTTTCATTCTTTCTTAATTTTTGTGTTTTGCCAGCATAAAAAATAGTACATACACCTCAGGACAGAGTGCTATTTTTTCCTCGGCTCCCTTAATGTATAATGTACTATTTGAACTTGAAATGACTGGAATAATAATCTCTTGAAGTTTGGTCACATACTCGAATAACACCCTGTATATCATTTCGTTATCAGATGAACTTGGCGTATTGATAGCCCACGCTATCTCTCAGGCTCCTGCTTACTCGCCAAAGACCTTAAAAGTCCATTTCACGCTCCAGTCACAAAATTTCAAAATGATTCTAATTGGGGTTATTGAGTAATCTCAATTGGAGTCTTGAAAACACCTACATTAAAATTTGGAGTCAAATCTAATTTTTATTGTTTCCTCAAAAACTAAGCTAGATACAAAAATACAAAAGTTGTTATTTCAATAGTTCAACATAATAAAAAACCGGTGGTGTACAATGACATTTACCATGAATATCGATAAATTTACCCACATACATAGTCATCACCAATATGACTGTCTTAGTATCTACCACTGCCACCAATATTGAAAAACAATGTTTGATAGTCCTATGGTTGCCAAAATTTGAATGTCACACATCCAACCAAAAAATACACAAGTTACAGGGGAAAAAAAACATTGAACACGTTTTCCTCATTTTATTTTCCAATATAACGGAAGGAATAATTATGAACAAAAAGGAAAAATACCGAGAAAATGCTACCAAAGAAAAAAAGTAATACTTCCAGTGGCCTCATAGTGGGTAAATTTATGGATATTCATGGTGAATGTCATTTTACACCACCGGTTTTTTTGAGTTTCATATTTTTATTAGATTGAACTATTGAAACAACAACTTTTGTATCTTCTGTGTGATTTTTGTATCTAGCTTAGTTTTTGGGGAAACAATAAAAATTTCATTGAGATTACTCAATAACCCCAATTAGAATAATTTTGAAATTTTGGGGCTTCCTCAGTCTCCATCCATACTGCATTTGGCACCATGAAAGCTCATACAGGGGGGTTATAAATAAAAACAATAAATACTTCCAACTTCAACATCCTGTATCTCGAAATCGGAGCGAGTAAGGACACATGTTTATACGAACTTTAATTGCTAGAATGTCACAAGGAGCGCCCCTTGAATTTTTTCGGTGTTATTTAGATACACCCTGTATAAATAACTAATTCTAGAAGCGAAATTATTTACCAACCTCTAACGTGCTTCTGCATGGACTCCCCGTCCCACATGACCTTGTTGCACACGAAGCACCGCAGAAACTTGGCCGGAATGTCGAAATAGGGCCCCGACTTGTCCTTGCCGCCCTTCTTCTCCTTCTCCCCACCCTCCTCCTTCTTCTCCTCGGCGTTGTTCTTCTCGTCCTTCCAGTCCCTCTTCGTGTCGCCGCTTTCCTCGTTCGCGTCGTCTATGGACACGTCCACCTTCTCCTTCTTCACCTCTTTCTTTTCCTCTTTCTTGGCGTCGCTCTTCTTGTCGTCGCGCTTGTTCTGGTTGTTGCCAGAACGGCGTCTGTCATTGTTGCGGTTGTGTTGGTTGCCCGAATTGCGATTCTGGTTCTATAGACCACAAAAAGAACGGTTTTCCAATGTCCAATGTTCGAGTCATTTTTATTCACGAAAAAATTCCAGATGGAACAGATTTTTGTACAGGGTCGTTGCGAATATTCAAACGGCTTCTACAGGGTTCATCATGAACACCTCTACCCCTGTATACAAATATGAAAAAACCTCACTCTGAAGTGAGCCTTCATTATTATTAATTTGCTGGAAAAATTACTTGTTCAGGCAAAATGTATGTACTCAATGTTTTGAATTGACTCTGCCGTTACTTGATGGAAATCCATAGCAAATGTGAAAAGCTTCACAAACGATGAGGTTTCCACAAAATTCTCAAACACATGACATGTTTCGCTAACACAGTAGCTTCTTCAGGTGATATACTGGTATAATGAACTGAAGTTCACCTGCCGAAACTTTTGTGTTAGCGAAACATCGTGTGTGTTTGAGAATTTTGTGGAAATCTTATCGTTTGTGAAGTTTTTACATTCACACTGAATGTATTTTGCTGGTGTTTTCATTTAAATAAATGCAGTGCAGGATGGATGAAATTAACCAATATCGACCATTTTAACGTGCGTATATCAAAATCAATACACATTTGTTTCAATGTGTATTGATCAAAAAAACCTTATGTGTTTGAAAATGCATTTCAAACATGAGAATTTAGATTCTAGTATTTATTTTATGTTCTGGTTCCTACGAAAAGGGATATCCTGTAATGTTCAGAGAACATCATGAGAACCGAGGGAAATAAGGTAGGAATTGGTGTTCTTAAATTTCTGGAGGTTATATGCCTCGGGGAAAAGCTCACTTGGCAATGAGTTCCAGAGCCTCGCTGTTCGTTGGATGAACGAGTCTTTGGAAATAGATGTTCTGCAGGTCTCCAAAGTGACCACGAAGGGGTGCGAAGCCTCAACTCGGCGGGTTAATCTCGCGGGCACTGCCAAGGGAGGAACAACTGTTGATATTTCAGATCGACCATGAAAATATATATAAAATAGAGCCAGATCGCCAACATTTCTACGGTGTTCCAGAGAAGTGAGTGAGTTTGTGAGCGAAGTATCACCCACGAGACAAATTGCCCTTTTTTGGACAGAATCCAACAGTTTCAGGGTATGTTTGGGTGCTGCACTCCAAATAAGGGAACAGTATTCCAGAACAGGTCGGATCTGTGCCTTACAGATCATAAGCAGTTGACTGGAAGTGAAATTGATCCTGGCCCCAAACAGAAAACCAAGTTTTTGGGATGCACTTTTAGCAATTGATCTCACGTGATTCTCCCAAGAAAGGTTATTGCTGATAGTAATTGACCTATCCAAGATGCTGTCAAACCATCTAAATCAATATGGCCGACTGTAGGCACACATACTTTCGTATCGCAATATCTTTGTTATAGCGGTCCAAGGATAATAAATATCCACTTTTATTCAAAACAACTATTATTATTATTTGATATATCTACCAAAGATTATACTGCTGCTACGTAAATCAACAAAAAATACTTGTGTGCCTACCGGCGGCCATTAGAAATTTGTCAAAAGTCACGTGTTCTGGAATGCCTAATACCAAGCATCAAAATGGATATCTTCAAAAGTATGATTACTCCAGACAAGCTTATGTTGGGCACAATGACAGAAAACCAAGTTTTTGGGATGCACTTTTAGCAATTGATCTCACGTGATTCTCCCAAGAAAGGTTATTGCTGATAGTAATACCAAGCATCAAAATGGATGTCTTCAAAGGTATGGTTACTCCAGACAAGCTTATGTTGGGCACAATGAGATCGGCTTTTCTAGAGGAAAGGCATGCTTGTGTTTTGTTTGCATTGAAATCTACCAAGTTATTGGATCCCTATTCGAGAATTGTTGCAAAGTCCATATTTATTTTGTCAACATATCTCCTTCGTTTGTTTATGATTTGCCTGGCTGGTATTGGAGCCCTGGAAGAGAAGGCGGTATGGAGGGTACTATCATCCGCGAAGCTGTGTACTGGACATGGAAGTTGCTTCCAACAAATCGTTGATATGGAGTAGAAATAGTGTTGGTACTATAATTTATCCTATTATAGTAGAAGGCGTATATTTTATTCCAGATCTTGTTTGGATTGCAGACATGTTGCCAAACTAAAAAAGGCCTGAAGACATCAGATGGCCAATATAAATGTCTGATAACTGTGAACAGATAGAATACACATTCAATTGATTGTGTATCAAAAAAATACACACAGGTTCACATGAAGAATATTTTTTATACACATAGGGGTTAACGTGTTAAAGATAGAAAAAACTTCAAATACAAAACTTGTAGGGTTCTGAACCTCCAGAAAATTCTACAAGGTGAAACAAATGAATATAGCTGATATAAGAAATAGGTACCAACTAACTTCCTTATTATCAATAAAACACCCTTCTTTTCTGATTTCAAAAATATATAGGCTGAACATTTTTTAGTTACAATTTGGTTTCACCAAATCGCAGTTGCCATGAAGAATCAACAACACATATGCAGGTTGTCATTTATAAAAGTTCCTGTCATATTTGTCTTGCATGTGTTGTTGATTGTTCACGGCAACTGCGATGTAACTTAAAAATGTGCAACCTCGAATATTACGAAAACGGTTGAACCGAATTTCAATAAAATATAGAGTGATTCAAAAGTGAGCGGCATCCTTTCGGGAGCGTAATCTTTGCATAAAAATAAGGCAAAAAGTTGTTATTAACATGAGTCCGAAAATGCTTTCTGAGGAAGCTACGCCCCTTTGAATCAATAGGACAGGTTAAATACAGTTCTTTCTCTATAATTCTAAAACCCTTAAATGTTAAATTTTGAAAATTGGTGTACGGTATAGACAGTTGATGGTAAATAAATGTTAGTTAAAAAGGTTTTTTTATTATTTAACCCTTTATAGGGCAGATTAAGAGAAATGAAACATATAGTTTTTTTTCACATAAAGTGGTTTATTGGTTCATTGAGAAAGTAAAAATGGCATCAAAAAAATTAATATGATATTATTTCTATTTTTCCCGAGCAGGTCGATATATCGACCATTATCTCAATAGGCAAAACATCAAAGCAAAAAAACACTGGTTCAAACAAACAATATAACCAGCAAAAAATACTGTTTACTTATTTACGCAAGTCACAATACGTACGTGCTCCACGAGCGTTGTCAACAAACTGCGGCAAAGCCGGCAAAAATGAATTCACAACCTGTTTTACTGAATAATTGAGGTTATATTGGTGTTACTACTAAATATTATCCTAGCGCAAAAGTTCAGCAACATTATGATCATTTCATGATGATGTCACACTATTGTTGGTTCTATCTCCCAATTTTCATGAACCAATTATGTCAGCTTACAGAAAAAACAGATATGTTTTTCGCAGGTGCACAATACACCTACTTCCGCATCATATGTGCTTGACGTACGGTGGTTGAAAATTCAACCGCACTTTTTATATCTCGCGTAAATACAGAAACCGGTATTCGTTTGCACTAAGCAATAGGTATCTTCTGGCGTAATATCAGACCAGTATCTCTTCAATACGATTTTATTTTGGGCTTGGTTGAAATGTCGACCAGTATCCTATAAAGGGTTAATGGTGATGCAGAATAATTTTCATCAATAATTAGCAAAATTTAGAATCTTATTGACCATCACATGTTTATACGGTACACCAATATTCAAAATTTAATTGTGTAGGGTTTCAAAGTCATGAAGATAAATTATGGTGTCGTATTCAAAAAGGCGTAGGTCCCTTAGGAACATCTTGGACCCATATTTATAGGAACTTGTTGCCTTATTCAAGTATTATGGCCCCAATATACACTTCCCCAAAAAATTATTGCACCACCAAAAAGTAACCAAAATTTTAGATATTTTTTCGTCGTAACTACTAGTCCGATTTGGACGATTTTTGTGGCAAACGTACTGTATTATTTTTTATGAATACCGGGTGTAGCAATTACACTCAAGCCATAACCTTTTTCAACATTTTTTGGATTCACTCCATTATCTTTCCGATTTTTCCAAAAACACCATTTGATGGCATAGCATGATTTTATTGAATTCAATTGGCATTATAAGCACGAAAGTAGCAGGCTATGGTCTCGGAAGGCATTTCTATGACTGGTTGTATGGAAGTAGTGATCATAAATGGAAGCCTCACAGCTGAAAGGTACATATTGGTGATTTTAGAAGTGTAAGCATTTTTGTTGAAGCAATGCCTCACGTCGCCCGAGTTGTGAGAAATTATCTAGAGGAAGTCTGTATCGCTACCATGCCATGGCCACTCGGATCCCGGATTCAAAACCCATTGAAGATCTCTGGGACATTCTTGGGACGAGATTACGAGAGGAACGTAACTCGAATACTTTGGAAAATGCAAGGCAGAGACTTATGACTATGATTATTCAGAGTGACTGATAAAAAACGCCCCAAGCCATAATCGCCGCTACATACGAATTCGAAAAAAAAAAGCAATTGAAATGGGTTATTAGCATGTTCTTATGGAATATGCCATTAATATAAAATTTTCGAATAAGTGCGATACACCGTTGATTTAAGGAGATCAAAAGCTCTTGAAATCCATAATAAAAAATCAGCAGCTCAAAGAACGTTCGTTCGAAAATCTTATAACACCATTTTGTAGAAGAGAAAAAGTAGCAATGAGAATTTTTTTACGTTCTGGTTCCCACGAAAAGGGATATCCTGTAGTGTTCAGAGAACATCGTGAGAACCAAGGGAAATAAGGTAGGAATTGGTGTTCTTCTAAAATTTCTGGAGGTTATATGCCTCGGGGAAACACCTTCCTTGGCAATGTGTTCCAGAACCTCGCTGTTCGTTGGATGTGTGATTTGATTTTGTTACATCTATTTAAATAAATGTCATTAAAAAATAAAAATTAAATCGCAAATATTCGGTTTTTTCTAAAATCTCTGTAAGTTTTCGGAATCTTTCAAATTTCAAAACAGCATTTTGGTAGACATGAAATTGC